AACCACTAGATTAGACATAGAGATCAGGCAGTGGTGGCACACACCCTTAATCCCAGCACTTGAGATCTCATGTGGATCTCTTAGGAAGCACACAAACCTTTAATCCCAGGAAGTGATATGGCAGGGCAGAGAAAGGTATATAAAGGTATATAAGGCATGAGGAAACAGGAACTCACTCTCTTTAGGCTGAGGACTTCGTAGAGGTAAGAACTAGTGACTGCTGTTCTGCTTCTCTGATCTTTCAGCTTTCACCCTGATATCTGGCTCTGGGTTTTTTTGTTTTTGTTTTTGTTTTTTTTATTAAAAGACCATCTAAGATTCAAACAACACAGTCTGGTCTCCATAATGGTCTGCATATTTTTAGACAGCCACAGCCACAACCACCATCATCACCACCACCATCACCATCACCATCACCACCACTACCACCACCACCACCACCACCATCATCACCATCACCACCACCACCGCCACCACCAACAACACAAGAATGAAAGTAAGAACGATGGCAGACATATCCCCAGTAGCGATGTGGGTCATTGTGTGGCTCTCTCTTTGACTCAGCCCTCTCCTGAGCTCTGATGCCATTCTATTTTGCAGGTAGGTCCTGTGTATCAGACTTGAGACTGGAATAGAAATTTGAAAGTTTCCCCTTTAGGGGACATCATGGCAAGCAATAGACAGCAAGCTGGCTTTCCTCAGGCCAAGAGGCATGGCTACTGGAATAAGATGGCAAAGCTGAACCTGGATCCTTACTGCTCCTTTGGCAATAATCCCAGAGATGAGGTGTTGAGGCTAGGAAGGCAACTTTACTTTTTTGATGGCTCACTGGAAAGATAAGGATTATTTTCCAAAGTCCAGTTTGCTGTGTACGGTTTATGTACTTTTTATTGTGCATACATGTATATTTCGATGTATGTGCACATGTGGGTATGGAGGCCAGAGGTCATCACTGAGTGAGTGCCTTTCCTCAATCTTTTCTTTTCTTTTTTTTTTTTTAAGACAAGGTTTCTCACTGAACCTGGAGCTTGTCATTTTTTTTTTTTTTTGGTTTTTCGAGACAGGGTTTCTCTGTGTAGCTTTGCGCCTTTTCCTGGAACTCACTTGGTAGCCCAGGCTGGCCTCGAACTCACAGAGATCCGCCTGGCTCTGCCTCCCGAGTGCTGGGATTAAAGGCGTGCGCCACCACCGCCCGGCTGGAGCTTGTCATTTTAACTTGGCTAGCCGGCTGCCCTTCAGGCCCTTGGGATCTTCCTGTCTTTGTCCCTAGGCCTGGGATTACAGCTGTATACTACAGCATCCAACGTTTTCTATGTGGAGGTGCTGGAGGTCCAAACTCAGGTCCTTAAGATTTTGCAGAAAGCACTTTATCCACTGAGACATCTCCTCAGGCCCCACACAAATTTTCTAAATCTTTGTCGTTTAAGAATTTCAGACTGGCCGGGCGGTGGTGGCGCACGCCTTTAATCCCAGCACTCGGGAGGCAGAGCCAGGCGGATCTCTGTGAGTTCGAGGCCAGCCTGGGCTACCAAGTGAGTTCCAGGAAAGGCGCAAAGCTACACAGAGAAACCCTGTCTCGAAAAACCAAAAAAAAAAAAAAAAAAAAAAAAAAGAATTTCAGACTGTTTTATTTATTTAAGTCACGTTTATGTATTCGTTTAGTCACATGTGTGCATGTGTAGGTGGGTGCCACAGTGCTCATGCAAAGGAAAGAGGACAATTGGTAGGAACTGGTTCTCTCCTCCTACCATGTGGCTCCTGGGGATCAAACTCAGGTCCCCAGGCTTGGAGCAGAGTGCCTTTACCTGCTAAATCATTTTGCTGGTTCTAACTTTATACATTAGTTATACATCCTCTATCAATGGCCACTCCACTCTCTGCTCTTGGGATTCTAAAGAAAAGCCCCAAGTGTGAAGTATTTGACCTCCTCTGACTTATTTTGACAGCACAATGCCGTCTAGCTTGTCACATTGTCGCTAACGGCAGGAATTCTTTCCATAAGGCTAAGTAACATTCTGTTTCATGCACCACATTTTCTTCTCTTGAAGAACGTTTAGATTGCTTCTGCGTCTTGGCTTGCGTGGATAACGCTAGAAGTACACACATCATTTTGAGACACTTGTTTTATTTCTTTGGGACATGAAGGCCCAGAATGGCAGTTGTCCACCATGTGGTTGTCTAGCTTTATTTTTTGGAGCTTTTCCATGATGTTCTCAATAGCAGACAAAACAATCTACATTCTTGTTAATGGTGTGCCAGGGTTCCCTCCCTCCACATCTCACAGACCTTACTTTTGAATTTTGATAATAGCCATCCTAATAGATGTGAAGAGGCATCCCATTGGTTTGCAGCTGTATGACAACTAGCTGTCAATCACTTTTTTATATACCTGTTGGCTATTGACGTATGTTCTTTAGAGAACTGTCTCTTTGGTCTTGGCCCACTTTAAAATGTATCTTTTACTTTATTCTTTTGCTATTGAGCTGTAAGAGTTTCTTAGATATTTTAGATATTAGTCTCTTGTCAAATACATGGCTTACAAATGGTGTAGACTGTATTTTAAAAATCTCCTTTACTATTCAAAAGCCTTTTAGCTTGATATAATCTTATCTGTTCATTTTCCCTTTTGTTGTCTGTGATTTTGCATGTCATATGCAAGATATTATCTCTAAGACCAGTATCAAGAAGAGCCCACCAATGTTTTCTCTAGAAATTTATGCTCTGAGATGCCCATTTATTATTAATTATTACTACATTTATTCAATATAGTAACAGCCAGGGCAACTAGGCAAGAAATTAATAAAAGTATTCAAATCTGAAAGGAAAAATTATCTCTGCAGAAGCCCTGGTTTTATATAAAAAATAAAATCTCAAAGACGCCACAGAAGCCTGTTGGAATTAATAAATGAATTCAGTAAAGTTGAAATCAATAAACAAAATGATTTGCACCTGTGTGTGATAGTGAACACCTGTACTAACTCCAGCACATGCAATGCTAAGGCAGGAGGAGGGTGGTGAGCTGAAGGCCAGTCTTGACTACATACCAAGTTTCATGCTACTCTGGGCTGCATAAGGAGACTTTATTTTTTTTCTTTTAAAGTCCGTTACATTTCTGTCGAGCAGCACGTGATTCAAAAAGAGGTTAAGAAGACAGTCTCATTTACAGTAGCATTAGGAATAAAATACTTAGGAACAAGCTAAGGAGATTAAACTTATATACTGAAAACTATAGAGCATTCATAAAGGGATTTAAGGAAGATACAAATAAATGGAAAGACATATTTTGGGAAGAATTAATTTGACTACAAAGTCTATGTTAACTGAAGCAATTTATAAATTCAATGAAGCCCTTTCAAAATATAGACATTTCTTTGTAGAAATAGAAAAACATCCCCAAGCTCATATTGATCCATTAAAGATTCCACATAACCAAAGTATCTCAGGCAAGAGGAATAAACTTGGAGGCATCACACTATGAAGCTACAGCAATCGAAACCATATGATACTGGCGTGAGGACAGATATGGAGTGATGGACCAGAACAGAGAGCCCGGAAACAACCCCTGCATGTATAGTCAATTGATCTTTAACAAGTGTGCCAAGGGTACCTGGTGGGAGGAAGGATAGTCATGTCAATAGTGTTGGGAAAACTAGGTAGCCAGGTAGAAAAAGGAACCTCAATTTGGACCTTTATTTTATATCATACATAATTATTGACAAAAGCCTTAAATATAAAACTCCAAGAAACTAGAGAGGATCCCTCTCCTTTCCATCCCTAGCAGTTAAGAAAAGTCAGAATCCGGCCGGGCGGTGGTGGCGCACGCCTTTAATCCCAGCACTCGGGAGGCAGAGCCAGGCGGATCTCTGTGAGTTCAAGGCCAGCCTGGGCTACCAAGTGAGTTCCAGGAAAGGCGCAAAGCTACGCAGAGAAACCCTGTCTCAAAAAAAAACCAAAAAAAAAAAAAAAAAAGAAAAGTCAGAATCCATGAGACAAGGTAGCCAGTGGTCCAGCAGGAATGTGGGTTGTTGTCCTGTGATGACACCCAACAGACGGTTTCCAGAGGAGATGAAGACTAGCCATTTCTGGTGTTGTAGAGGTTTCCAGAGGAGATGAAGAACAGCTAGTTCTCGTGTTGTAGAGTCTGCCTAGGTCTTGCCTTGGCTAGTAATCTAAGCTAGTTTTAACTTCAACTGGGCATGGAAGAGGTCGACAGTGGTTAAAGCCAACTTGGAGCTGAATGCTAGTGTTTGAGATAACTAATTGAGAGTTGGAAACTCTTGGCTCAATAGGATGGGGGACTTGATGGAGCTTATTAGATCACAATTCCCTGTGAGCAGGGTCACCATGATTAAAGACAGATCTTTCTTCTTTCTTTTACACAGTGGGATGCTCCTAAGACCCACTCATATGAAAAAAAAAAATCAGTGAAGTCTGCGTCCTCGAGGATGGCTGTATCATCTTTCTCTGTGTTCCTTTCCCAAAATAATATGCTTTAGTCCCTAAGTCCCTTCAGACTTGCTTGGTTTAGGTAAAACTGCCTCTCCTTAACCAGTTGTGAAAATGTTTCCTGCATCCTACACATTTCTAAGAAGAACAGTATACACCAGCCCCAACCTGTTTCCAATTGGGTTGCATTCTATTGGCTGGAGAGAACTAATCCATTCTCCCATGGGCGACATCAAAGGAGAGCTGGCGGGGTTTTCAGGGCTGGAGAATGTGGTCAGTGGTAGTTAGACTGCAGGTCTACAAGTGGCAGAATTGCATTTGTTAGAATGTTTAATTGGACTTGCAATGGGATAAGCAACATGCTGAGCAATGGACCTATAGTAAACGTATCAGACAACCCGTGCTCTACAGGTGTTTTACATATAGGATTCTTTTATGTGTAAAACTGGGGAGAAAACAGCTGTTACACAGCCCTCCTTCCCCAGCAGGACTTTTCTTTAAAGAATAATGAATATATATTGCTCCCTGCACATTCTCCGTTTCTGCTGTCACAGAGATTGTATCCAGGAGGCATGTGAGTCCAGAGGATCCATTTGATGATGGGTGCATACTACGAATGAATTTGGCTCCATCTCTGGAAGTTGCACCCAACTAGCCTGTCCTCTTTGAAGTAAGTACCACATAAGATGGCAGTTGGGCGGCTGCTGGCCTTCTGCAGCCCCTTCTGTGGCAGATGAAAGGACCAACATCATGTAAATCACGACAGCATTCAGACTTTCTGCAGACATTGTTTCCTCCAGGAACAAATTTGTGTTGGTGGGAAGGTGACCCACGCGTCTTAACTGGAACAAAAAGCGGGGAAAGTTAACAGGACAGCCTGCTGTCAAGCCTTCAGACTTGGGTGGGGGACACGGGGAAGGAGTCTTGATGGAGAACTAATTGCTCAGGTGTGTGTCCATCAGGAATCTGCCACCTTGTGTCAAGAGGCAGGAGCCCAGATGGCGGCCCCAGAATTCAGCTGCTCGCCAGAATGTACTCGGCTAATATGATGGCCGTGTCTGTTGGGAGTAGGGAGAAAGGAATGTAGCATGGAGTTGCGAGCATTCCTGGACTTCAAAGGACTGTGAACTAGGCACACTTGCTACTTTCTGATTCCTTCTGTCTGGTTTATGACATAACTTAGAGCCACGAATTCTCAAAATGGAGTTGGGAATAGCGTTGCTTCAGGTAAACATCTTTGCTCATATCGGATCAGAATTTAGTGATTCCTTTGAATCAGGTCTGGTGTTTCTTTTGTTGTCAAACATTTTTATTTATTGTTATTATTGTGTGTATGTGTCTGGGGGAATGCAGGCGCACATGTGCCACAGTGAGAGCCTGTGGAAGTCAAAGGACAACTTTGTGGAGTTGATTCCCTCCTTTCACCTTTGAGCAGGTTCTAGGGATTGAGCTCAGGGTGTCAGTCTTGCAAGCTCGTGACCCATGGAGTCATCTTCCAGCCCTAGATATGTCATTTCTTCTCCCGGGTTTTCCTGCTTTGGTGGATAGCTGGCGCTCACTGTTATGTAGCTAGGCCCATGGTTGTAACCATACAAACATTCATTCTGTATGTAGTACCTGAAGAGCAGGTTGAAGTGAGCTGGAGGCCAGCCTGTGCTATATACTGAGTTCCAGGCCAGCCAGAGCTTCATAGTAGGACCCCATTGGGAAGGCCTTTAAGGTGTGTGTGTGTATGTGTGTGTGTATGTGTGTGTGTGTGTGTGTGTGTATGTGTGTGTGTGTGTGTATGTGTGTGTGTGTGTGTGTATGTGTGTGTGTGTGTGTGTGTGTGTGTGTGTGTATGTGTGTGTGTGTGTGTGTGTGTGTGTGTGTGTGTGTGTGTGTGTGTGGTGTGTATTCATTATTCATTCAGGTGAAATATCAGGGGATTGTTTTTCCCATATAGGGACAGTGTGAATGCACCTATGGTCTGGACTTACACTCTGGGTACAATTCTACTGACCTTTCCCAGGTGTAAGCGATCACTTATGCAACTCTCCAGTTAAAAGGCTCTTGTCCAAATCAGAGGAGCATTTTAGTCTTCCAAACAGTCACTGGACAAAGGCTGCTGACACCACTGCCTCCTCCTCCAACACTTGTTTCTTCTTTTCTGAAATAAAACTCATAAACAATTTTTTAAATCCAAAGAGAACATCATAGACCCTTAAAGTCTACAATTCAGTAGGTTTTGGTAAACAAAAAAGTAACATTGCCACCATTATCACTATGTAATTCAAGAGTAATTCTATCACCCCAGGAAGAGACTGTATCCATCAGCCATAGCTCCTCATTTCCCCACCTCCTCACATTAGCAACTACTTATCTAATTTTGTTTCTATGGGTGTGCCCATTCCAGGCATTTCATGTAAATAGTATTAATGTGTGGTATTTTGTATCTGACTTTTTTCACTTCACATAATATTTTCAAGGTTTGTGACTAGTATAGCATGATATTTTTAATGGCCTAGTAATATTCCATTATGTGGCTATACCATGTTTTGTTTCTTGGTTTCTCAGCTGATGGACATATGGGTTGTTCCCCATTTTAATTTTTTTTTTTTTTTTTTTTTTTTTTTTGGTTTTTCGAGACAGGGTTTCTCTGTGTAGCTTTGCGCCTCTCCTGGAACTCACTTGGTAGCCCAGGCTGGTCTCGAACTCACAGAGATCCGCCTGGCTCTGCCTCCCGAGTGCTAGGATTAAAGGTGTGCGCCACCACCGCCCGGCTTAATTCTTTTAAGTATTGTTGCTGTGGGAGCATTCAAGAATCACAAGTTTCTGTGTGGAAATATGTTTCCAGTTCTCTTAGAAATATACTTAAGAATGGGATTAGTGGATCCTATGGCAACTATGTGAGAAACTGTTGGATTGTTTGCAAACTGTTGAAGTATTTTACATCCCTACTATCAATGTATAAGGATTCCAGCTTTTCCATATTGTTCCCAACACTGACACTTCTATTGTTTGTTTGTTTGGGGGCAGGCTTTCACTATGGAGCCCTGGCTTGGAACTGGCTGTGTAGACTAGGGTTGCCTCAAACTCAGAGATCTGCCTGTCTCTGCCTCCTGAGCTCTGAAATTTAAAGCATGTACCATCACTCCTGGCTTTTTAGTTTTTCTCATTCTAGCTTTCCTTCTAGTTATGAAGTTATATCTCATCACGCTTTGATTTCTGTTTTTCTAAGACTTACTTATTTTTTAATTTATGTGTATAGGTGTTTTGATTTCATGTATGTCTGTGTATCATGTGTGTGTCTGAAGCCCTCGAGGCTAGAAGGGGGTGTTAGATTCCTGAAACCAAAGTTACAGATGATTGTGAGCTGCTATGTGGGTACTGGTAATTGAACCAGCACACCTTTAATCCCAGCACTTGGGAGGTAGAGGCCTATCTGTATGGCCCTGGCAGCAGCATGTATAAGTAAATTGGTTGCAACAACTCTGGGTTTGGTCCCCGATTTTGGCACCAAAATGTGAGTTTTGTAACTCTTGGAAAGGTGTCCTGATTACCTGGGGAGTCAGGCAACCCCTTGAGTTGCTTAGGACAGCTCTGACAGCTAAAGCTGCAAGGAGACAGTTCAGCCCTGGAGGGCGAGGTATCCCAGACACCTCAAGCTGCTCAGAACAACAGCTCTGCCCTGAAGGTGTCCCGGACACCTCGAGCTGTTTAGCACAGCTCTGATGGCTGGAACTGCAAAGAAGCAGCCCAACCCTGGAAGGGAAATTTTCCTGATTTCTTGGGAAAGTCAGGCCTGGAACTACTTCAGCAGGGAAGGGTATCCTGACTGTTTGGGAAAGCCAAGGTATAACTGGTGTGATGGGGGATGGTCTCCCCGCAGGATATAGCAATCCTGCTCCTCTCCTGAAGAACCACCTAAGGGGGCTTCCTAGCAGAGCTCTGCTTCTCCAGCCTAAGATGTTGCTTCTTTTGCTTCACTCTGCAAAATGGGAAACCAATGCAGAAATGTAGCAATCTCCTCCGGCTCAGGAGAAAAGTATTACTTTTCCAGCTTTCTCTTGCTCTGTCCACTGAGGGACGTCTCAGCAGAGATCTTCTGTTCAGCTCCTCCTTGCTCTGTTCTTTCAGTTCTCCCTTGTTTTGTCCACTGAGGGACGTCTCAGCAAGTATCTTCTCTATGCCAGTGAATGAAGGTCTTCACACCCAAAACTCTTTTGAGAACGAGATTGATTTGGGAAGGAGGAGTCCAGGAGAGTAGCTGCTTCCACCAGCCTTTTTTTCTAACTGACCAGGCAGGGCAGTTTACACATGAAGCCTCAAGGGTGGAGTCAACCAGGGGTTGACTGGGGCCCAGGGTTCTACTATCCTGTTCTGTGATTGGCTGGTTTCACAAGTCCCTTGGCCAGGGGCAGAGATGGTTCTGATCTGACTGAGCCAAACTGTGTTTCTTTCTGCCCTGATCTGAGTCATCTTTCCCTAGTTCTGGGCTCCAGGGTCAGGGTGGGTTTCTTTAGTCAGCCCCTTTTCCCTACAGCATGACCCTTGGACACCAACATGGCCTCAGATGTCGGCTCAGGTCCCAGGCATCTGCACAGCCATCAGTGGTAACAGGAGCCTTGACTGTGGTAGGGCCACAGAGCCTTTTAGTTTTTTAATAGTGTCCTTTTCTTTAAATCACATAGCTTTCAATTTTGGTGAAGTTTAATTTGTTTACCTTTTTTTTGGTTGCTTATAATTCATGTGTCTTAATTAAGAAAACACTGCTAATCCAAGGTCATGAATATACACTTGCACTTTTTCCCCCTAATATGTTACATAGTTTTAGTTCCTATGTTTAGGTTTTTGGTCTATTTTGAGCTCATTTTATATATAATGTGATGTAGGAGCTGAGCTTCATTCTTTTGTCTGTGGATACTTACTAATTCTATAAGCATCTTACACTGAGTGTCCATAGTTTCTGGTAGTCAATGTGAAGCTTTTTTTTTTTTTTTTGGCAGTTCTTCAGTTTTGTTTGATATCCAGCAGGTTGGTTCTTGTCCACACTGAGTCTGTAGAATTTTGAATGTGGTAATAGGCACGTACGTCACCAGTGTGTAGAACTTGTTTAGTGAATCCTCATCCTCATTACACTTTCTGGACAAATGTATACATACACAGTATGGAACATTCCTTTGGCTCAGATGGCTTTGTTGAGCCTGGTAAAAATGCACACATCTGGAGTCCCCATCTCCTTCATGGCAAATTTCCAGATTTCTTTGAGTGCCCAAGGGGCATGCTTCTTGAAGCCCACTCCACGGATGTGCTTGTGAACGTTGAAGGTGTGTTATCCGGCCACTTCCCTGTTGATGGCAGAACGGCCCTTCTTCACGCCATGCTTCCTTGTGGCAGCCTTTATGCCGGGCCCAAGTTGCAAAGGCTGTAAAGCACTTACACTATTTAGACTATTGTTGTTTTGTTTTGTTTTAAGCCTGGGTCTTACTATGTAGCCCTGGCTGGCAGGGAATTTGCTATATAGACCAGGCTAGCCTCAAACCCACAGAGTCTCTGCCTCTTGAGTGCTGATGATACCATTCACCCAACAGTGAGCAGTAATTCTCCTATGTTCTATTTTAGCATTACTTTAAGATCACTTTCTCTTCTTCCTTTTATAACAATGATTGGGCAACCAATGTCTTCAGTTTTACACTCCTGTTTGGTAGCATTTATTGACTTAACTTTAGTCAATTGTAATTGTTAGCATGAACACTGGTCTATTGCCCATAATGCCTCCTTGCCTGCTTGTGACTGGAATCAAGGAGCTATTGAATTCAGTGAAGTTACTCATCCCAACAAACAAAAATAATCCAAATAAAAACTGAGCCCAGCCAGGCGGTGGTGGCGCACGCCTTTAATCCCAGCACTCGGGAGGCAGAGCCAGGCGGATCTCTGTGAGTTTGAGGCCAGCCTGGGCTACCAAGCGAGTCCCAGGAAAGGCGCAAAGCTACACAGAGAAACCCTGTCTCGAAAAAAAACAAAAACAAAAACAAAAAACTGAGCCTAATGGCACAGTCTTTAACTCCAGCTCAAGAGGCTGATACTATGAGTTTGAGGCTAGCCTGGTCTGTATAGCAAGCTCCTGGCCAGCCAGGGCTACATAGTAAGACCCAGTCTTAAAAAAACAAAACAACAAAAGAATTTCAAATGAGAAAAGTTTGGGTTCTGCCTCACTTTTAACAAATGAATGCAACTTCCAATTTAGCACTCCAGGGCAAGAAAAACCTTGGCTGCCTTTGAAAATGTTACAGGAAAGAAAAAAAGCTCATAGACCCTTGCGCCTCTATTCCTCAAAGACAGTCAGACCTAAGCCAGTCTCTAACCTACTACTGTGGAAATGGCATTCTAACAAGCAGATGCCATGAGCAAGAATGTGAATTATTGATGCACCATGGCACTGTCACTAGCAGACCACGGAATCCATTTAAAAAATTCTTTTACAGATGTAGTTGATTCTGCGGCAGCACTGGGTACCCTCAAAGCCACAGATACACCATGGAAACACTGATGAAGCTGCTAACTGCTCTGTCCGTGTGTTCATCGTAAATGTCATTATTCAAGAAATTTAAGAACCGTAATGATGGGAAATCACACAGAAAGAAAAGAGGAGGAACGGAGACTCTGTCAGCAACAAGGGCGACATTTTTATTCAAGAGGTCCCTAATGACGGAAAATCACAGTGAAGGCAGAGACGAAACTGGGTTTCCATAAAGAATCCAACACATACCAGTTGTACACACAGGAGAACAGCCATAACAGACGCATAAAAAGAAAGAAAAACAAAATTAACGAGACAAGTTGTACCAGGCCTGACACACAAAACAGCAACAAATCACAGCGCATTCTGAAGATTAATTTCAACGCATCTTCTGAAATAAGCAGGGAGACAGACAGCATCAATATTAATGATGCTGGAATGGAACTCCCTGAAAGAGCCATGGCAGAAAGCAGCACATGAAAATGTTTTGTTTTTAAATGGGTTGTAGATTGGATCACAGGACCATCAGGAAAATGAAGGGACCTCTATAAGAACATCATAACAGGGCCAGCTGTGTGATGAGCAATTACAACATCATCGTTAAAGTCCCCAATGTAAAAGAAAAACATCAGTGTGGAAATCAAAGGAATGTCAACAGTCTGCAGATGAGGTAGAGGAAAGGAAAGAATGGATGTTATTGAGACTCAATTGCCTGCACTGTGTCTATAGTGACTATCCTTGATAAAACGGACAATAGGCATTTGAAGAAAAATGAGAATTTGATTCATCTTGGATTGCACTTGCTCCCCTTCAAATCGTCGGGTAAGGCAGGCTGGGAGTCAGCCCAGAGCTTCCGGTGCTTAAGCTATTGCTGGTGGCAGATACTTCTGGACAATGTGTCAAGTGTCATGGGTTCCTACAAATCTGCAGATGTGTCTCTTACGTCCTGTATAGCTCAAAATTAAAACAAGTAGAGTTACAATGTGTAATAACATGGTCCACTTAGTCCTATGTTACAGTCTAAATTCTTATGACAGATTTGCTATTAAAAGGCAAATGATCCTTTATTTGTTGGTCTTATGAAGTTCTGACCTCTAGTTGTGTAAGTCCATGGGCTGGGTAGCAATGTGTCATGGCAATTTCTACCTCTGTGTGTAGGAAAATAACACCCCCCTCAAGCATTGCCTCTTGTCCCATAGCTCTACAACGTGTATGGTTGCAGAAGATTAAGCTACCTAACAACTAGCTGAGCCTAAGCAAAGAAGAGCAGAGTGAGGATCATTTCCAGCCGCAGTAACAAAGGCAAAACACACCTGGGACAAAACAGTGCCTGTAAGGCCACATTCATTTCCAGTACCCTCTAGAGGACAGGTGGGAAGGTATGGACATCTCTGGAGTACTTAAACTAAGAGAGCTTTTTACAAAACTTTGTTCGATGAAAGCCCAGGAGGAAATAATGCTAGCACAGAGGCAATTTGAAAATAGTCCCATGGATTCTCTGGAATGCTTTCCTTCAAGAGGCGGCGGCACCCAGCTACAAATGGTAACAGGCGCCTGCGACAGCAGCACTTGAGAGACTGCGGCAGGAGAATTACGAGCTTGAAGTTGGTGTTGGTATGGTGGTTTGAATAAGAATGGCCCCCATAGACTCATATGTTTGAATATTTTTGTGGAACTGTTTGGGAAGGATTAGCCAGTTTGTGGGAGGATGTGTGTCACTTGGGGGGGGCAGGCTTTGAGGTTTCAAAAGATGAATGCCATTCTCAGTGTGCTCTCTGTCTCCTGCTTGCAGATCCAGATGTACGCTCCCAGCTGTTCCTGCTGCCACACCTTTTCTTCACTGTTATGGACATTAACCCTCTGAAACCGTAAAGCCAATGAAATGTTTTCTTTTGTGAATTGCCTTGGTCATGGTGTTTTATCACAGTGACAGAAAAGTGACCAATGCAGTGGTTTACATAACAAGACCTCGTCTCAAAATGGAAAAGAAGAGGGAGAGGGAGAGAGAGAGAGAGAGAGAGAGAGAGAGAGAGAGAGAGAGAGAGAGAGAGAGAGAGGGAGAGGGAGAGGGAGAGAATACTGTATTATCCTCCCTTGGAATGTTGGCTAGATTTAATGAGAAATAGATTACGATGGAGAAAATGATCAGTTATAAAAGACTCTGAGGTTGCATCTTTTCTCTCTTGAACCATTCACTCTGAAGAAGGCAGTTGTCATTTCCCAAGGACACCTAAGGAGTCCTGTGGAGAGGCCCACCCGGCAAGGAACTGAAGCCTCCTAAGAACAGCAGTAGGAATGACTAAGGCCTTCTTATCCATCTATCTATCATCTATCTATCTATCTATCTACCTATCTATCTATCTATCTATCTACCTATCTATCTATCTATCTATCATATCTATCTACCTATCCATCCACCTATCATCTCTCCATCCATCCATCATCTATCTATCTATCTATCTATCTATCTATCTATCTATCTATCTATCTATCTATCTATTTGGTTTTTCAAGATAGGGTTTCTCTGTGTAGTCCTGGCTGTCCTGGAAATCACTCCGTAGACCAGGCTGGCCTTGAACTCACAGATATCTTCATGCCTCTGCCTCCAAGACTGGGATTAAAGCATGTGCCACCATGCCTGGCTTTAAAAAAATTTCTGTACCTACAAAGTCGTGAATATTCTTATGTACCTGAAGGATAATTGCAATTTAAGATTCAATTTCTTTTTAAAAAGGTTTATTTTACTTTTATTTATGTGTATGGGGTGTGTGTGTGTGCTGGTGCTGTGGAGGCCAGAGGGATCCCCTGGAGCTGGAGCTGCGGGTGGTTGTGGGCCACCTGACATGGATGCCGGGAACCAAACTCAGGTCTTCTGCACTCCACTTCCACTCGTAACCACTGAGCCCGCTTCAGCCCAGAGAAGAGATCTTTTTTTTTTTTTTTGATGGTGAGAGCATGATGGTGAGAAAAAAGAGAAATTAGATACCAAATACCATAAAGGAAGGCTCACAAGCCTGGAATCTCATTGCCATGGTGCTGAAAGAGCCCCCAAGAAAGGAAAGGAGAGTTGTTCCTTTTCTTGGATTTTGATCAATCTTCTATTATTGCTTAAGGGACTGCCTTCATCCATGCTAACAGGATATTGCAGTTTGTATGGGATGAGAACACAGATAGAAAGACCAAGTACAAAGAAAAATCACACTGGAACTAGACTGAGACATTTGATAAACACTGAAGAGGATAGTAGGTACCTTTTTTCCTTTTTTCTTTTTCCCTCCCTCCCTCCCTCCCTCCCTGCTTTCTTTCTTTCTTTCTTTCTTTCTTTCTTTCTTTCCTTCTTTCTTTCTTTCCTTCTTCCTTTCTTCCTTTCTTCCTTTCTCCCTTCCTAAGACAGGCTTTCTCTGTGTAGCCTGTCCTGGAACTGGCTCTGTAGACCAGCTGGCCTCTCAAATTCGGAGATCCACATGCCTCTGTCTCCTGAATTCTGGGACAAAAGTTGCACAACACTATGCCCAGCTAAAGGACAGTAACTTAGAGCAGTAACCACAGGCAAAACAATGGGGCCGTCTTCCTTAACTGCTGTGTAAATGACCATGGGACTACAGACCACGTCACCAATTCTTCCTTCTTCCTCCGCTGACCTCAGATAGCATGCAGCAGGATTCTGTCTCCATTGTTACTGCAGAAACTGCAGAAGAGGAAATGGCTTTGGGAGTCTCGAAGGAACTCTAACTGGCCCGGCAGAGGTTGTAAGTCTTCATTTTGGGGTGTTTCTATTTCGTCTTTTGGAACTCTGGGAATCGTCCTGCCACAGAGCTACACTTTAGCCTTTGGAACATCTCTTTTTTTAAACAAACAAACAAACAAACAAACACCAGCACTCTACAGCTTGGCTCTTTGTGCATACTGCCAGTTCCTTTTCTACTTCTCTGATACACACTGTGGCAAAGCCAGGAGTCATCTCCAGGATTACCATGCTGTTTGGACCTTCCAGCCACCAGAAATGTGAACCAAATAAACATCTTTTACTTTATAAAATTCCCAGCATTAAATATTGTATAAAGGCAACACAAAATAGACTCAGCCATTCTATGAGCTCAATTTACCTTAACTATCTCTTTAACCCCTCCCTCTCCAAATATAGGCACATTTTCAGATACCGGGGTTTTAAGACTTCAACATATGAATTTGGATGAGAGACACAATTAAATGCATAATAAAGAGCATGTCTGCCAGGCGGTGGTGGTGCACGCCTTTAATCCCAGCACTCGGGAGGCAGGAGGATCTCTGTGAGTTCGAAGCCAGCCTGGTCTACAGAGCGAGTTCCAGGACAGGCTCCAAATCTACACAGAGAAACCCTGTCTTGAAAACAAAACAAAACAAAGAAGAAGAAAAAGAACATGTCTGTGGGAGCAAGAAGACTTGAAAGAACATGATGAGATCACTGTTTATTGAAGCAAAAGTGTAATGTAATCTGAAATAAAGCAGAATGGGGCTGGTGTTCAGAGGTTTAAGGTTCCAATCTACCAAGGTAAGATTTCATCCTGGAGGTTATAGGCCTTGAAAAAACTGAAATCATAGAAATGCCCCAATCAGGTAGGTTGTGGTGGTACACAACTTTACTCCCAGCACTTGAGGCAGAGGCAGGCAGATCTCTGAGTCTGAGGCCAGCCTGGTCTACAGAGTGAGTTCTAGGACAGCCAGGACTACACAGAGAAACCCTGTCTCGATAAATCAGAAAATAAAAAAAAAAGGAAAGAAAAGAAGTGTCCCAATCAAAGGTGAGTGTTTTGAATACCCTGAAGTGCAGGGACTGGACTGTAGAGAGGGGGATGTTTGAAGAGACAGAAACTAGCTAGGGAGTTAATGGTGAATTAGACTATAAACCAGGATGGCATCCTCAGAGTGTTAGTGTAGAGACTGTATGGACAGTAGCTGGATGTAAAAAGTTGGCAGCCCTGGAGAAAACTGAAAGACCATGAAAACAGAAAGCTGTCCATGAGGAAATGAGGCCCAGGCTCAATCTCTAGTAATAGACCAAAAATAAAATAAAATCAAAAGTGTGGCCAGGTGTGATGATTCATACTTTTAATCCCAGCACTCCAGAGACAGGGAGAGAGATCCCTGTGAGTTCAAGGCCAGCCTAGTCTACATAGCAAGTTCCAGGCCAACCAGAGTGAAAAAATGAGACTCTATCCCAATCATAGCAAAACAAAACTGATGAAGAAAAATTCAGGTACGTATGTAATCAGAGAATGAACGGAGTACCAACCTAACTGCCTTTTCCCCTCTGTCCTTCTTCTTGAGGGACTGGTGTTGGGAGCTTGAGAAGATCAACAACGTTTTAGGGCAGGCACTCTGGATAGAAAGGCAAGAAGGAAAGGAAGTAATTCCTGAGCGACCTTGTAACTCCAGGACTTTTAGGGTTGGGATAAAGCTACAGGACTTGTTTGGATAGAGGCTGAGAAAGTCAGAATCCAAGACTGAGGCTGTTGAGGGTAAGAGAGTGGCTGACCATTTGGGACCAGGCATATGAAGACAGAAAAGAGCCGGGGGGGGGGGGGGGGCTTAAGTCTCAGGATGCACAGAATGAACGGCCAGATGGCTCGGTGGTTAGAAAAAAAATGAGGTTGCCGGTGACAGATGTCTGAGGAAGGACAGTCTGAGGTAGTGACAAGTCTTAGAGTCGCTGCTAAAGAAGAGGAGACATGTGCCGAGTTCCACAGGAGAGATTTATTTGTGTAATGCCCAGAGGAAGCATTTCCTTAAAGCTCTGTCAACATGGCTTTATTGTTGGGCCCTTTTTAAGTGTAGGGAAATATTGAAAACCTCTGTCCCTAAGGAAGATGAAAGTGAGAGGATGGGTTCTGGAGAGCAAGGACATCTGGGGACCATTAATTAGATGTAAAAACAAAAACACTGTTAGAGCAGGAGCAGGACGGGGAGGTGAGGACTCTACCTCTCGCCATGGTAATAAGCAGCAAGGAAAGCATTCTCTACACAAATCTTCGTAATAAGGCGATTTTATTTGGCTTATACATCCCATAAATCTTGAAATAAGAGAACTTTTATTTAAGTTTTGTTATATAAATTCCCCTGCCTCTGAAAAACAGCATGAATTCTCTTTTATGTTCTGGTCCTCCTCCTCCTGGGGTGTGATTAATACAGTGGACCGGTAATTCCTAACTTCACACTATCTAAGTATACATTATTGCCCTACTTTCTCCCTCCAGAAATCGGTTTTCTTTTAGATGACTTTCAGATTCCAATCTTAAAACAAAAACTGAAAAAAGACAACATACAAACCCCACCAGAACCAAAAGCATTCATCTTATTTAAGACATTCTACAGAGCCCTTAGTCTAAATTGAATAAAGCTGTAAATAAATATTCGTGGAGTTAGAATGACTCAAAGGGGGAAAACAATCCAGTTATCTGGCCATTGATGAACGATTGAAAATGAACAGCGGTCTCATCATATGCCGAACAAGGAAGGTGGAAGACAGGCAAATCCATCCTACCTGCCTGGCTTCTTGGGCTGGACACCCGTCTCCTGCTGGAACTGGACTCACACCATCAGTTCCCTGGTCCTCAGGACTTCATCAACAGTTTCCCTGGGTTTCCCAACTGCAGGAGTCAGACTGTGGGACTTTTCAGTCTCCGTAATCCTGAGAACTGGTTCTTCGTTATAAATCTGAGCCACATGCAAAGGGCCCAACTCACTCTTTTAATTTACCCCAAACAAGGTAGCTCTAGACTTAACTTTTGCAATAGCTAGTCTCTAAAACTGGCCTTTCAGACGCTTTCTGTTCCTGGTTCACATGTTTCTCGTGTGTGTGTGTGTGTGTGTGTGTGTGTGTGTGTGTGTGTGTGTGTGTACAGGTCAGAGGTCAGTATTGTTCCCTCAATTGCCCTCCATCCTTCTTTTTGAGTCAGAGTCTGTTATTGAACTCTGACCAGCTATTCCCAGGGCTCCTCCTGTCTGTCTCCTCCTTCCTAGTTTATAGGTGAGCATGGCTTTTAACATCTAGGAATTTGAACTCAGCAATCACTTACTGAGGCCTGGGGTCTCTTTTATAAAAGGACTAATTCTATTCACACCTTCATGATGTAATAACTTTCCAAAGGTCATTACTTACAATACCATCATATTCAGGGGTATTAGTTAGACATTTGCATTTAGACAGACATAAACATTTACTCCATAACAAAACTCAATTGCTATGATTGCAGCTACATAAGAGACCCCATACAAGACCAGAAGAACTACTCAGGTAAAATCTTGGCACATACAATCAAGAGAAGTGATAAAGTGCTGTTGTTTTTAAGTCACTAAAACTTCAGGGTTTTACATAGCAATAGATAACAAGACAGAAACTAGATTCACCTCAGGGGTTGCTGTAACAAATCTAAGTCACATGGCATTGGTTCAGGACAAGCTGGAAGGCAGAGCTGAGAAGGGCCTTAAGGAAACTGTAAACAGGACACAAGGATAGTGCCACTGGATCAGAATCGAGTATTTTTTTATAATCGTCTCCCTTTTGGGAACTACCAGTTGTGGATATTCTGCTCCCTTCCCATCATTGCATTTTTTCACTGCATGTGCAGCTGATCATCTTTCAGATCGTAGGTCTTTACACTCAGGCTGTCTCACCAGAAAACATGCTGAAAGATCTTTCCCCACCCCTGGGCTGATTTAGACCAATCTGGAATTTGAGTTGATGCCATAATTGTGTGAGACGTTCAAGGGTTTGAGAAGGGGTGAGTGTATTTTCCACATTGGAGGGCTGCAAACTGTTGTGGCCTGAGGGTAGGCTCTAATAGCTAGTTTCTAAAGTTAATCACCCTCCACCCTCATTCCCAAATCCTTCATCTGCTGCTATATATTTTCTCCTGCTCCTATCAAGAGGTGAAACTTCTTTCCTTCCTTGAGTCTGACTGAAAGTCTTTACTGACTGAAAGAACGTGGGCAAAAGTATAGTCTAGGACTTCCAGACTGTGACCTCAAGAGAAATGACAGCTTCTATTTTCTCTTGTTCTTGAAATGCTGTCAGTCCCCAGAGTGTGAGACACCTGAGTGGAAACTCAGATGCCTTAATGAAGGACCCCAGATGGCAAACAACAATGTTAGCCAAATAGGTGCAACAATTTTGGGTCTATCTTCTAGAGTTCCCTGGGGGAGTAGTGAGCAGTTAAGTAATGTAATATGCTTTTGTTCTTTCTAGTTTTAACAGAACATTCACCAATACTTTAATAGAAAAACTTAAAAGTTTAACATAGAGAAAAACACAATCTGTAATTTATAGTACTCTATTCTAAAAACCTTGCATATTCTTAAGTAGAAATAAACCTTATTTTATATGTACTACCATATAATGTATATATTGGTATCATATATGTATTTATGTATATGTACATAATGCACATATATATATATATATATATATATATATATATGCTTTATTTGGATATATATCTCCAAATCCTTTCTTTCTCAAATCTCGAGACTTTTATTGATCCTAATTTCTTCTTTGTACGTGAATAATCCAAATAATAGCATGTTGACTAGTTTGTATATCAACTGGACATAAGCTAGGGTCATCTGTGAGGAAGGAATCTTAATGGAGAAACTGCCTCCATAGGATTGGTCTACAGGCAAGTCTGCAGGACATTTTCTTGATTGATGATTGACATGGTAGGGCCAAACTCACTGTGGGTAGTGCCATGCCTGGGCTGCTGGTCATAGGTTCTATGAGGAAGCCGGGTGAGCAAGTCATGAGGAGCAAGGCAGTAAACAGTACTCCGCCGTGGCCTCTGCATGAGTTTCTGCCTCCAGGTTCCTGCCTTGACTACTCTTCCATGATGAAGTGTGATGTGGAAGTGAGAGAATGATAAACCCTTTCATCCCCAACTTGCTTTTGCTTGTGGTGTTTCATCACAGCAATGGAAACCCCAACTAAGACAAATCGGAAGTTTGTTTTGTTGCTTATTTTGATACTACATTTTTGTTTTTATTTCTATGGGAAAATCTTGTCACTCGTGAGACCCTTTGGCTGGCCTTGTGCTGTTTAGTGAGGTGGAGAACTATTCATTGCATTAGGCTTTCTTTGAAGTTGGTGTTTGTCTCATAAAGCACAGAGGAAGACCAATGCTTACAGCGGGCACATTTCTGCAAGTTGGACTTTTAAGGAGAGAACACGGAAGGCGAACATTAAAAAAACAAGCAGCATGAAATAACTTCAAAGCCTCATACTAAAGATGAAATCTATGGTTAAAGAACAGTGAAAATTCTATACTTTCCCAAGATAGCTCATTCCAGTTTATTCACAGATTATTAGGTAGTTATATTTAGCTAACAATTCTATACAAAGACCTCTTAGTCTGTCTTAGAAGAATAGTTTCATATAAATGTGAGCAATTGTTTGGAGGCACTCAGTTCTTTTTATCCCCCTGCTGTGAGCTATCACACGTTGGCCTGCTTTATGGTTATTTTTTTTCAGTTGGTTGGAACTTTATCATGCCTTAATTGAATATGTTATCAAGAGTGCTGGGGACAACTGTGGATGTTAGCAGGAGTGGAGGGGACAACTGTGGATGTTAGCAGGAGTGGAGGGGACAACTGTGGATGTTAGGAGTGGAGGGGACACCTGTGGATGTTAGGAGTGGAGGGGACACCTGTGGATGTTAGGAGTGGAGGGGACACCTGTGGAGAGAAGGGTCTGGTGGCAAGTCCTTTTCCTTCTTGCTCTGTCCACTGGCAGTGGACCCCCCATACTCTGCCCTGGCCACATGAAACTCTGCATTGTGAGGAAATGGTATCCTGGTATTTCTCTGAGACTTCCTCCAGCCTTCTCAGTTAACTTCATCTTCATATGGCTCCCCTGCTTCAGGATGCAGTCCTTTTCAGCCTGGTGCCACATTGCACTCTGCTTGTCAACACTGGAAGGCTCATTTACCACGCTGAGTCCTTTGTCTCTTCCCCCATTAGGTTAAGGAACTGTTGAAGGAGGAGTTGCAGTCTTTATCTTTCTTCTCAGAGCACAGTATCTGCATGGCATTAGCTTTACTAAATGCCTAGTAAAGGCGAAAGTTAAAGCAAAGACTCCCGATCTTACAGGAGGGGACAGTCAAGTCTTAGAAAGGCACCTTCAGGGAAACCACAAGAAAACAAGATTTCACTTCTTCTAGAAAGCTTTACCGAGTGAGTGTTACGGTGCACACTTTTAATCCCAGCACTCAGGAGGCAGAGGCATGTGGATCTCTGTGAGTTCGAGGTCAGTCTGGTCCACATAATGAGTTCCAGGATAGTCAGAGCTATGTAGAGAGTCTCTGTCTCAAAAAAAAAAAATCTTTATTGAAGGACTTACTAAGACTCAAAGATATTTATGCTGTTACGATGAACTTTAGGTGGTAGTTAAAAACTATATTCTCTCAGGTTATCATATATATACATATATATGTATGTATATATATATGTATGTATATATATATATATATCACAAATAGTTTATTTTTAGACAGGGACTCACTATGAAGCCTA